ATAGTACAAAGGTTTGGTTGCTTACAGATTTTCAATAGATAAAGTTTTCCAAATAGGCATAATTTGAGATAGACAATTCGGAAAATATTAATGTGGGTTGAACTGAGGAATCTGATAAGAATGACATTGTTCCTCCTTTTGGAATTGCTGACTTGAAATCTAAATGTAAATTTTCTTGTTTAACGAACAATATTTTGCTTCATACGAGTTTTATTATTTTAGCTGAGAAATATAGAAAAACAAATTCACTTCCTTTTCTTAATAAAATATTTTTATCACAATGTCCAACTACAATAGTCGTGTTTTAAGTGATAAGAGTTACACGACAGGCTACATTGTATTTTCAAATGTTTCAATTTTTAACACTGTGTTAGTCATACATGAGTCTTAACACACTGAATTGATTTCCATAGAAAAAATTTGCAAAAAACATACTTCAATGTTTTTCTCGTTTTTTTGACAATTTGTCACAACAAAAAATTTTTGACAATTTGTTTTTTAATTATGCAGCTCAATTTTTATTTGAAGCTTATTTTTTAATTTTAGTTTTAAATTATTTCTCAGTTGTTTCTAAGTTTTGCAGTCTGCTTTATAACCATTAAGAAATTACCATTAAGAACTGTCAAGGCATATTATATTATTCAATAATTGAATAAATTACATAGGGGGTATTCAACTTAAAGAATTAAAATAAAAATGAGTACAAGTCTAAAGATCTCTTAGGCAGTAGAATTCGCTTAGTTTTCGCTACCAGTTCATAATTTAATATTTTCCGAGTTACGAGAAAACGTCTAAGTTCGATCAAATCAATGGTTTGAATGATAGTGAAAATACTGTTTTTAAAAACAATGTATATTTAAATAACTTTTTATTTAAATACTGAAATATAGCAAATTATTGCATACATTGCGGATGGGAAAAAAAAAATTAAAAAAGGTATACTAAAATTTGGAATTTGTCGGTTAAGATAAATAATTATATTGGTTTTTGACATGGCATTTGCCGTTAGCTTTTTGCTAAAGACGCCGAAAAATCAAATTTTGCAAATTCCGATAACTTGAAAGGTGGTGCTAAAATTTCAGACTTGTAGAATGAAACCGAAGAAGAAAGACGACATTAAATATTTGGAAAAAGCATATTAGGTAACAGTTAATTTTAACCGCCATTTTATTATTTCAATATTCAACTATACAGTGCTGTAATAGAATAAGCATTTCGGGACTTTTTCGCGTTTGCGAAATTAAAGAAATATTTGTAGTTTCGATAAAATAAAGGTCAAAAAATGACGTTCTAGGAAGAAATAAGTTTCAAAAAAGATCAATTTGATTCAGCTTTTTATCTTAAAAGTTTTTAGAAGTTTTGGCGGGACGGACAGAAACAAAGATTTTTTTTCTATTATTACCGACCGTATTGTGTATACAATAGGTAGGTTATGCGATGGCATCAAATTTTGCATATCGAGTTTTCGGTGGGAATACACTTCTCTATAGTAGGAAAGTGTAAATAAACTATTTTTAGCAACCTGTCGGTCTGTTTGTGCACGGGTGTATCTCAAGGTCGGGTGAAGCGATTTTGATGAAATTTTATATGTAAGTTTATTTCAACCATGGCACAGATTGGTCAACTTTTGGAATATATCAGGCCTCGCAATTTTAGCCTGTTTTACGTTTTTGACCATTTGAAGAAAATATTCAACCGATTTGCTTGAAATTTCGTATATAAGCTTTAATCGACCGTCCGCGAAACCTCTTAACTTTTGAAAGAAATCATATAATAAAATATAGATTTTTGTGGGCCAAATATAGATTTTTGCGTATATAAGGAAAAATAATCAACTGATTTCATTGAAATTTAATATTTAAATTCTTCGTACTAAAAAAATGAATATATGAATTTTATGAAAAGATCAGGGCTCGGAAACTGATTTGCGGGCCGATTTTACATTTTTCACCATATCTACGGAACGAATGGATGGAATTTCTTGAAATTTGATATTTGGGTTCTGGTCGTTACCGAAACTAACTGGGGAGAATTCAAGGAAATTCGGGTAGCACAAAGCGAAACTCTACTATGAGCCAAATTTATATTTTTCTAGGTATGTTAACTATAAGCTTACTAATATCCTAAAAATTGGAAAGAAGTATTTAACAGACATTTTTATCATATTCTGTAACACTTTCACTTAACTAGACAATACACATTGCGGTCGGTTATGTGCTGATCACATCAGATTTTTTTTTTATTAAAACGACGCTGTTTTTGGAAAGACTTGTTTCTATAATTAAGAATTTAGGCGAAAAAAAAAAAATAAAATGGTCCATATTATTTGTTGTTTGGGTCTGGGTTAATTCTATCAACTTGCTTTGAGCCAAATTTTAAAATGCTCAATCGTGTTATCAAGTTGCTTATATGTAGTAGTGCTATTAAATTAGTTTCAAAATTTCATATCGTAGTTTTTGTGTTTTTAAACAGAAGTCATTTTGTAAACTACAAGTTCAACCATTTCATATTCGAGTTTAGTTTATTTATATTTCACAAAAGAATGTCGAAAGATATTATTGTTAATTTGAAAACAAAAGTATTCAATTTCAAAAGTTTTTTTTTCGATATTCCTTCTTTGTTTTCTGTATATAATTTTTTAAATCTAATCAGTGTTACAATCAACACCTGTGGAGGCAAAACAATAATTGAAAATATTTATTACAATTTTCCACTATACATGCCTGTAAAAAGAATACCCATTACATATTTATATAAGGATACGAAAAAATTAAGTTGATATCAAGATCATCGGAGAAGGTAAAAACAATTGGGAAAAATCGATATTTATTACAGAAAATGATCTTCAAAGAGAATATTTTGTTGTATTATAGTAAAAAAAAATAACAAGCATTTAAGTATCCTTTAAAGGACATTAATGCATACTTACATACCTGTGATGTAAAAGGAATAGATTAAAAGAAATAAAATAATTTTTTTTTATTGAAACAGGCGTTGCTTCTTTAGAAATATTAAGGATACAATAGATGAGATTTATTCCATTTTCTTGTATTTATTTTCTTCTCCTACACTTCTCTGTTACTTCGTTTTTGTAATCCTTATTTATATATTGTATAAGAATCAGGATAACTTCTTGGAAAATAATAAAATATGAAAAAGATACGAATAGAAAAGAAGTCCTTCCCTTCCCATCAATATGTGACCATATTAAGTATTAAGTTATTTTAATTTTATTGTTCAAAATGCCGTCGGATAAATTCAAAAGCATTAAGGTTATAAAAAAAAATTATAAAAAAATTTTTTGATTTTAAGTCCTTTTTACATTTTTTTTGTTCCTTTTTTCTTTTTTCATTAAAAGTGATTTATGAGGTAATTTTACGAAAGTAAAAACGTAGGATCTTAGTTTTTTGTTTGTTTTGAGAATTTAATAGAGATGTCGTGGAATTTGTAATAAATGAATTGAATCTTTTAAAATGTGTTGAATATAAATTTCATCAATACTTTCAATGTATTATTTGGTTGATGTATGTACGTTGTGTTGTTTACTCGGAGTCAAGATAATTTAACCCATTCAGCCTAATTGATTTTGATGTGAGATAAATTTTAGAACTAGTATTTATTTGGGCAGTATAGGGCAAACTTAAAGAAAAATTTATTTATAGCCTAAGTCCGTATCTTGCTTTTTTGTCCGACTTTCTATACACTTTCAAATCAGAATTCTCCGTTTTTCTAATAGACATTTAATTTTTCCACTAAGATTAATCAATTTTTCAATTGAACTTTTGCATTTTTTCTCAAATTATCGACTGAACGTCTCAGTTTCATAAACAAAGCGAATAAATTTTGCATAAATTTTAAAAGAAAACGAGATACGCAACACGGAATAATTTCTTTCATTCAAATATTACTCATGTGATAGTTACTCACTTTCTTCTCACTTACCTCACTCACTTACAGGCTCTTAGTTTCTGTAATTTTTTACAATATTTTTGGATTTTAATTTTTTTTATCTTTGGATTTAAAATATTTTGCCAAACAACAAATACATATATAGTGTTATTGATTTTTACCGTTCGCAACACTCACAAAGTTGTCAATATAGTATTCAGCTACGTATAGAAATCATATTTAATATAACAGAAGTAGACATTGAAAAATATTGCTTGATTTCATTAAACACTGTAATTTTGGTAATTTTCAAGATCTAATTAAAATTTTAATATTATTTTAAAATATTTATTAATGTCATATATACATACTTATATCAATTAGGCCGGCAAATTGAAGCTATATTCCGAAGTATTCCAAAATAACAAAATTTATAGACCTCGCAGTAGCCATTAATATTTACATTACATTAGATGATTCGTTGAGCATTTGACTATTGAGAAAGATGTTAAAAATCTGAACAGGGAGGATTTTTTGTTTTTTCAATTTAGAAATTGTTTTAGTGCTAGGTTTTCTGTACCATAAAAGATTTTTCAACACATAGTGACTTAAATTAAAGCTGGGGCAAGTGGTCAAAATTCTGTAAAAAAAAATTCGGAGATTATTGTGTTGAAAAAAAATAAAATTTTTAATTATATTATTTTATTTAGAAAGTACATAAAATCATTATCAAATAACATGTTTATTTTAAGTCCTTTAAACTAGGCCTTTCAGAAACTGTTTGTTTAAAGCTTTATCTTTTTCGGAACGGAAGTAATTATCGAAAAAACTTAGATAAGTAGAAATTTCGAAAAAATTCGTTAAAATCCCTGTATCTCGGAAACCCTTTAGATTTCGCACCTAGTCCGGAACAAAAGTTTTACCAATTGTCGACCCTCTAACCAATGGTAAATGTTGTTGTATACCTTTCTGAATTAACCTGTATATGTACTTCCTTTATTTAAATGAAGTTAGTGGATTTCGGATATAATTTTAATCCTTTTTATATTCTTAAAAAAATTTTTTTTAAATATTCTAATTAAAATTTGCGTTTTGTTTTACTTTCCTAACAGGTTCATATTCGATCACATTTTATAATGAATGGTGCATGTGTTAGATTCCGTGGTTGGTTAGATTTAGAACGATTAGATGGTGTTGGTTGTCTTGAATATGATGAACGTCGTGCAATACATGAAGATGCAATTCTTCGAGAACAAATCGATCGTTATAATCAAAGATTACGTGATTTTGAGGATACAAAACGTGCTTATCAAGATAATCGTCGTGACGAAATGGATGCTGTAAGACGTGGTGTTGCTACTGGTGGCATCGGTGTTGGTGTCGGTGGTGGTATGTGGAGACGATAAATACACACACACACACACACACATTTTTATTAAGTTTCTATAGAAAACTAACATTGAGTTCAATTAGTTTTTATGCGATAATTTTACACTTAATAGTTGATTATAATTTTAAAAATGTATGTAAATGTTTTCCGTTTTGTATACTGACAAAAAATACTGGTGCAATTTGGTAAATACAAAACTATATTAATTTTTGGTAAAAAAAAAATACTACAAGAAAATAAAAATAAGGATAAATGTGTACTTAAACCGACGTACGAATATTACCAACAAGGAACTGGTGCTTAATGTGATTTCATCAGGACATGATAATTTAAGGAACAAACTTATAGATAATTTCATTTTAAAAATAATTTTTGTAAAATCAATTTTTTTAAATGTCAAAAAAAAAATAAAAATTCGTTTTTATTAGAAATTTAATTTTACCTTTAAAAATGGAGGAAAAATAACTGTTATGTACTTAATTATTTTAAATTAAAAAATAATTTTGTTTAAATATTTTAAATAGAAATTATTTTCCATTTTTTTTTTTGTTAATTTGTAAATATTATTACAATTAAAAATATGATGTTTTATAAATTAATTGAAATAAAATTAATTTTAATTAAAAATTTTTTATTTTATTTTGTCTTTAATTAAGCTGCAATTACAACATAAGCTTTACGAATAGGCAGTGCCACACAATAAATAAAATTTGAATCGCATTTTGTCAATTTATTGAGTAAAATTATTTGGAAATAGAGAGATATAAAATTCGTAATGTTTTAAGATCAATTCTTCCTCGTCTGTAATGTAAATTACAAAAATCACCGCAAATAGTAAAACAATATCTTTGTCCCAAGGCTTCTGCTATATAACATTAAAAGACCTATTTCTGTCTAAACCTTTAAAAAATAATGAAAATGCTATAGACACACTTTTCTCGTGGAACAGGAATATTGATGATATTTTTATTTGACTCAAGAAGATATGAAAGATATTAACAATTTGAATGCTATTCAAATAAAAATATAAAACATTTGTCACTGCATATATAAATATTATATTTTTCCGATCCGGCAAAGAAATTTAGCATATTCTGGTAGTCTCCAATATGCGTATCTACAGACATCTCATGAAGCGATATCATCAGGTCAAAATCCTATTCTAGTAGATGTAAATAGTTGAAGTGGTATCAACTCTAACATGAAGAACAATGTCGAAAATATCATGTATGTTGTTATTTGGTAGTATGAATAAAATGAAAAATCCGCAAAGTTAGAGTTATAAAAATTATTTAGTATTTCACTAATTCTGTTTTAAATAAGCATTTTAATGCCATTGAATGTGTTTTTGAATTGCACTCAACAATAAATTCCACAATAAAAATAACTGAGCTGTTTCTGTGTTTAAGATCGAGTTATTATTTTGGTTAGTTGTTAAAAGATTGGTTTACATTTTTAAAGGATTTGATATTTTAAATTCCTTGTATTTTCTTAACACTAAATTTTGTAATATTTATAGGCGAAAAAACCATTTTGAATTGATTTAAATGGTTATTATTTCGACTAACATCGAGAACTCCTAAAAATATCCCTAAATCCTAAAATTTAACTAACTCTATTAGATTTTTTTTGAAAACATTTCAATTTTTGAAAATTTTTTTAAATTAAATTAAGCTCATTAAAAATGAATTACATAAATCTAAAAATTATTTGAAATGCACGAAAGTTGGGCACATTTTAACTTTATATTATCAAGCGCTCTTGGTTTGTCAATATTTTCTTTGTTTTTAACTGCAATAGAGACCAATTTCTTACTAAATTAAGACAATCCTAAATATTTGCTTCAAATTCAAAATGTCAATATAATTCCATAGAAGTTGTAACGCTAGTAGTATAACAGTGTCAGTATAATAACTACCTTGCTGTTGATGTTTTAATAAAATGTCTTCTATAAAGTAAAATCTCGAAATTTTCTAAGTTGGAATAGAAAGTTCAGATCGGATAGAATCAATTTAGGTAATTAATGACCTGTGCTATAAAACCAAGAATTGGTTTTCAATATTCCAAGTGTTAAAATAAAATTTTAAAGAAAATGCGCGTCAAAATCATCTTTTTCAATAAATTTCAGATATATTGAGTCTGGCTGCGTACAGTTCTTTTTTGGCGATATTTTTTATTCTACAATAATATTTATGATTGCAAAAAACAAGTGAAATTCTAAGTATTTTCCAGTGAATTTTAAAAATTTTAAATATGAACTATGCCGCATAAAAATTTAAGTATGAATTTATCATTTAAGCATTGAAAATTATCAGGCGCGTGTTTGGGATTCTTTTTTCAATCTAAAACGAAAAAAAAAAATTGGATGAAAATATTTTATAATTTTCCTTTTAATATTTATGTAAAGATAAAGTACTTAGTGATACCTTAAAATTGTTTTATGTTTGTTTATTTATTGTTTTATAAAAAGGATAAATGAGTCCTTAAAAATATTTTTAGAAAAACAAAGAACAACAGTATTAAGAGGTAATCGTGATTTTTCACGATAATTTTTTTTTGTCTTTTTTTCTATTACTTGTTTTTCTTTTTAAAATTTTTGCAGCCATCTATACAAATTGTTTGTAAACAAAGAGGAGAATTCTTTTAATAATAACAGTGATGTGCTTAGATGCTTTTAAATTGGATTATTGTTAATGAACATGGATTTGAATTCAATTAAAAGTAAATATGTAAAATATCGTAAATGAAAAAGGGAGACAATCAAACATTTTTATATATAACTGAATATAAAGCAAGTATCTACTTATGATTATAATTACGAATACATTATGAGTTGACTAAATCTCAAAATAAATTTTTAGAAATCAAAAATGTTCTTGATTCTTTTAAAAATATAATTTTTTTTGCTCTCAAATAAATTGGTTCTAAATAGATGCTTTCTAGATAGATTGGCTCTAATTGATTTTGAATAACAGATGCTATAAGACAGCTCAACTTAATTTTTGAGCACTTAAGAATTAGGTTGCTTAGATTTAGCAGTAATGAATTAAAGCCCGTACATTATTAAGGTATAAAGCGATCAGAACTATATTGGGGGTCCCAATATTTTCAGCTTACATTGCAAATAGCACGACAACTTAAAAGCGAATAAGGAGTTTATTTTAAAGAAGAGTTTATTTTAATTATTTCAAAAACTAATAAACGTTTAAATATCAAAATTTTGTATACGTGTGTCTAATTACATGCTACGTATGCTCTAAAAATTTTAATGGAATGACTGAAATGTCTGGAAAAGCTAATTTTGAATATTTGGAAAAATAATCCGGGAAAAGTTAGATCCGTGAAACTTGGCAGTTGTGTTCTCAATTATAGGTCAGATATATCCGTGAAGTTGTTGTATAGAATGGTTTCATAGTTTCGAATAATTGCTATACAACAATGTGAGGCACAAAGTACAACCGGTTTATACCGACTGACCGACTGAAACGTTTTTATTTGTTGTTTATTTTTTTTTTAATTCGATTTAATTTTTTAAATAGACCTTTATGTTGTGCGACTCGAATTTTTTATTCTGATTGAAGCTTGAATCACATTATGTAGCTCAAAAACGTTTCTCTTCTCTTTTTAACTCCTACGATGAATGCGAGTATTAATTTCAATTATATAGTGGAAATAACATTTTTGTTAACTTCAATTTCCTGCTGATACTTTTAATAAAGATAATAAATTAAGCTAATGTTGATTACTTCCTGAATGCAATAACACCAGGTGAAAATTTGATCGTTAATATTTGTTAACAAAGAAAAAGGATTTCTATATAAAAATTGGAATTATGGGAGTTATGTTTATAATTCTGTAATAATAAATCTTGAAATTTTATCCATTTACACATTGACACATACTTACACTCTCAGATATTTGTGACATAATCTACTATAGTGTTACCTGAAACTTTGTTTATTCAACTATCAACAAAATAATTGCACAATTTTATCATATATTTTTTCTTTAATCATATTTGATATTTTTATTCTTTTATATAAGATTCCATGTATGTATTAATGAATAAGAGAAAAGTATACTAAATTGTTTGTATAGTTCATTTCCTTAATATTTATCAGTAAATTCTAAATGAAAAGGTCCTTATTGTTAGTGCGACTACACAAAATTGTATAGTTTAATCTTTTCATTTTTAAAATTTCAGAATTGAAATGCGAAAATTGTACAGCAGTTACTATTATTTTAATACAGGTAGATTAATGTTTAATAGAATATAATTATTATATTTTGTACATTATGATCTTTAACTTCTTCTTTAAGGAGCCTTTATTTGACTTATTTCTTTCGAAGGATTCCTTTTTCATTGTCAGATTTAAGATCCTGTAGGGTTTGCTTTGTGAAATATTTTTCTCCAGCAGTTTTTCTAATGTAATCTTTCTTTTATAATAAAATGAATAAGGTAGGTGCATTAAGACATAATAGCAGTACATGTACAATGTTGTAATTGATTTTAGTTTAGAAAAGGCAAAAATAGCAAGAGTATTGTAAAATAATTTATTGCAAAATGCAGGGGTGGACGTGTTTAGTTTTATAATTAAAAAAAAATTTAAGAATTATTTCTTTGAAAATTTCTATTTCATTTTGAAAATAATACAAAAAATTCACTAGGCATAAACATTTAGGGAGACATGGACAAATGAGTCTGCACATTGTTAGTTTCAATTTGATGGCAGACAACAGTTTCGTAATTGATAAGATTTGTGGATTAAATGACTTTGCAGTTATTTAGATTCTAGGTATCCAAAAAATTTTCGTCACAAATTTGGATCAGTTCCTTAAAAAAATGTATTTTGTATAGAACATGATTATAAAATTTTAATTTAAAATTTTAATAGGCATGACGGGAATAAAATGATCAATATTGTTCAAAATTGGAAAAATACCTTGGTAAACTTCAATATTTTTAATTTACGATTGATGAAAATATGCTATGGCAAACGACAAATGCAATCTGATAGAAAATTTTACCAATTGGATCAATTAATGCAAATAACATGATGAAAGGTGAAGAACAGTAAACTTTAAATCTAAGAATGCATGTTCGTAAGGAGTTTTGCAAAAATTGTATTAATTTCTAATTAATATTGAACGAATAATACTAGGAAGTGCTACGAAGACCGACCGTTGAATTATCTTTTTACAAACCGCGACTCTAAATGATTGTGATAGTTAATAAATTTCATATTAAAATGTGAACTTTTCCGTAGAACTTTCATTCGGAAAAACCACTTCAACAGTTTATGTACTCAAAGTTCTCTTATAAATTAACTTAATTAAAATTATTTTGAAAGAAAATATCAGAATTATAGTTCTTAGATTTTATAGCTCTTATTTTTATATTAAAATTAAAACAGTTGCAAATAATGTATCCAAATTTTTTTAAAACAATTTGGAAATATAAACAAACAAGCCTATTTTTAGAATGTCAAAGGAATTCAAAGAGTTTTGTTAATTTGTCAGAAGATTGTAGTGAATTTCTTTTCAAATACGAATTATAAAAATGTAAATTTTCATAGTGCAAATACTGAAACGACATCATAAAAAA